CCTTAAGGTCTAACCCTTGAGGAGGGAGGGTGTGGGGCAGCTACTTGCCACTTGAGAGTCCACCGAAGCCTTGCGGTTTGAAAGGTATGTGGCAAACTAGGGGGACCCTGCAAAACCGTGATGTCCCTTGATCGCAAGGCGAAACGGGTGCCATCAACCCCCATTTGTAGAGGGATTCAGGCCCATGCTGGCAATGGATGGGTGTCTGTAAATCTTGCTCATGCCAAAAGGGGTCACCGATTTTGAGACTAAACAAATACATTGTGGCCAAGAAGGTAGGCCGATCTTGTCCGAGGCTTTGGCTTCCCAACAGGGATGAACTTGCAGTTGAAGTTGGTGACGGGCGTCCAATTGATCTGCACCTCAACTGCGGTACCGTGGCAGCAGAATGGCGAGCGATGGACCCCCTGAAACATGCGCTCGTCTCGCTGGACTTGGGGAACCTCAATGAACTAAGAGAAAGCAACTAATGCGATAACGGCAAATGGGTGTGAGGCGTTCCTTTTGGTTGGCCCGGCTACACCACGCATGTACTCGTAGCCTTGTGATCGGTCAAAGTATGCTGCCAATCGTCTGTCTCTCACAATGGTGAACCCCGCTTTGGTTGGTGTTTGAAGGGAAACCAAAGGACAAAGTATACAGTATACTTCACACGCCCACACGGAAACAACATGTGAGGTGCCTTCATCATTTCTGAACTGGCAAACCAAATCCCTTTCTCGCAACTCAAACTCTGCATGGCGCGCAAGTGCAAGAGGGGCACCCCGGCTGCACATGACGAAAGGGGCCCGGGCGTCGGGCAACTCGATGGACTGTTGGTAGAGCATGCCGTAGCCCAGTGGCACCTCGCGGCGTCGCGAGGAAGCCGCGACCTTTAGGCGGTAAAGCCCTCTTCCGGACTTGGGGTTTCGCACCAGAAGGGATCCAATGATCCAGCACAACAAGCAGGGGGGGGGGGGGGCGGGGGATCCATTGGTTGTTGCTGGGTTGCACCAAGAACCTAGCAATTGCCGCTTTTCTGCCTTGCCAGGGTATGAGCAAGGGGGGAGCGTTGTCATGCAACTTCAACTTCCCCTTTTCGAAGTGTCCTTTGATTTATGAGGGACGCAAAACGTCCCGACATGTCCCAACCTGCCCTTTGGCTGCAAATAGAGGGGCTGGGAAAAAACACATCCACCCCCCAGCTACGTTCTCTCTAGGGGAAGCTTGAAATTATTTTGGCAATAGTTATTTTCCTGAAAGCGGGACAAAAATAAAAGACGTCCCGAGTTTAGGTGCGACGCTTTTTAAGGTGACATGACCAACGCTTTGGCGGGCGTTCCCTGTTTTCAAAAACTTAATACCTTGTGGCCATACAAAGGGACTTGTTTGGGAACAAAGGAGTCTCCTAGTAGGGACCGGGTTGATGAAAAGATTGGAGGAATCGAGCTTTACAAATGCAATCTTCGGGAAAGGAAGATCATCCTTGGTGGAAAGGTTGTTCCTAATGGTGAACACGATTCAACCTGCAGAACGCTAAATTCATGACTTGGACCATTTTGAAACGGGTGTCCCGTTGGTGCGTGTTTTTGCGATGGGGCAGGTAACGTTTCAAGCGGAGCCCTGCATCACGCAAAAGAGCAAAACGAAGAATATACCAAAGGCTAAAGTTCCACTACCCCCAGCCCCCAGAGCCCCCCCAGCCCCCAACCATCTCAAGGGAAAAGGGTGTATGTGCCCACTGTTTGCGATATTCATCTGCATTTTTTACAATAATTCCAAAACCTGAAGTAAGGGACCCCAAAGTAAAGGATCTTTACCATAGTGAGCTCGTTTTGTCCCCGAAACAAATTATGCAGATTCACGTGTCAAAAGCATGAAAACGGACAACCCTGGGTTGCAACGTGAAGGTGTCAAGCCTACCGCAGGTCGACCAAGCCTCTGGATGGCACTGATGTCGCGATTTGCTTGGCCAAACTTCAAATCCGCGCAAAAGCATAGAGAGAAATCTTGCTGCCGGCCAAAATGGCAAATGATAAACTTGGTTGTGGTTGACCCCCCTGCAAAAAGTTTAACTTTTTGGGGGTTGTGGAACAACCCTTGGTTTCCCAAAAAGTTAAAGTCTAAAGATCCAACCCAACAACAGTTAAGAGAAGGCCAACACGGGGGGGGGGGGGGAAGACGAAACGGCAAGTGAAGTGTGGCGAAGGTACGGCCGACTCGGCGGAGCCAAGGTGCATAGGACTTCACTCGCCCCACTTTGCCGGTGAAGGCAGCATCCTGCCAGCTCTGCAGAACAGCTGTGGCTCAAAAAACCCGGAATTCCAAAATGGGGATTTGCCCTGGTAAGTGGAAAAATGGGCCAAAACCTGGGTAACCCTTCCTGGTTAATCTTGAGCCCCACCCAAATTGCAGTGCCCAGAACCTCTTGACCTACTGTGGGTGGACGGAATCCAGCACCGCACCACGAACTGAAACCATGGCTGAAACCGTTGTTTGTTGGCATTCATAAGGGAATCGAATCATTCCAGGGTTTCTTAGGTGGTGCGAAATGGATTTCGTCCACCCACAGACCTATTGCCCCAGAAGGTCCTACCAAAATGGGCCCCAGGCTTTCTACGGACAAAAACATCAGCCCCATGCAGCAGCGAGCACAAGTCCGTCCTCATCAGCCGGCGTTTCAACAATGTTCATGCGAAGCTGAAAGGACGCCTCAGCCCGCGAGCTGCGGGAAACCTTACCTTATCAAAGGGCTCAAAGGGACCTCTTCCATTTGGTTAAGACCCCTGGAAAAAGTAAAAATAAAAGCCCAGTAGTGATAGATTCCCTTTAAAACCAACAGGGGGAAAATAAAAAAGACTCTTCTTAAGCAAGTGGAAGACCTAGGGACCTATGCTCCAAGAACCCCAGAGGTTGGCTCTGGATTTTGGTCCGAGCAAACCAAAGGCCGCCAAGCTGACTTTCGATCCTCGCGATTTGGATCATCGGCCAAATGGAGCCCGGAACCATAACTTCAATGGAAAACCAACAGGTCAAACATGCTGACTGAGCGAAAAGCCTGCGGCTTCGGAATGGTAGACACCAGTCAGCCTCTGGCAACATCTGTTTCTGCCAAGCCTTTATCTAGCCCTTCCATCCCTTAGTTCCACTCCACGTAGGCCCTCTAAATGCTTGACTGGTGCCTTGGGGTGAGACGTCAGAATTGAAGGGGAGTTAGCTGGATCCCATGCCATGAGACGCTGAGAAAGGCGCGATGCAGGTGTCAAGGTCCACCTGATTCCACGCCGATGCGATGCGTGGCGGTGGTTTTTTGGGTTGGTGTGCTTGGTTGTTTGGTTTGGATTGATTTGGTTTGGTGTGGTTGGCGTAGTTCGTGTGGCTGTCGTCGTTGGTTGGTGTGGTCGGTCGGTCGGTTGGTTGGTTGGTCGGTCGGTCGGTCGGTCAGTTGGTTGCTTGTTAGTTGTTGGTCCGCATACCCCCATATAGGTGGATGCGGGAATCTAGACTGCGCACACACCTTTAACCCACCCCAAATCCACGAGTTTGAAGCACTTGGGCCCTTTGGCCATACCAAGCAGAACTCCCCTAGTTCTCCTTAAGGTCTTGAGGGCTTGTTCCCCAAGTAACGCCATATTGGAACTAGCCAGGGGGAAGTCCTGGACTGGGGCCAGCAACTACATGAGTCATTGTACCAACGCGTCACCAGTGGCCGACTTTGGGGATTCTTTTCCTGCAACCACTACACTGGCTGCAAAGGAAGTCGGATGACTATGGCATTGCACAGACTCCAAAAGCAAAATGCGATAATCTCTCGGAGTCTCAGCCGAAGCAAAAGGGGGGGGCTCCAAAACTCCAAAAATCTGCCTTGGCGCCAGTACTTGAAATAAATGATCTCCAACGAAAAAAAAAAAAAAAAAAAAAAAAAAAAGTAGCGCTTGAGGACAGCCCGGCGGATTTTCTCTTTTTGGTTGCTTGGATCGTTTAACCAAAACATTGGGTTGCTTGCCTGGCGAACCGCCAGGCTCGCTCGCCTGGGGTGGTTGCACACTGGCTGATATGATTGGAGCTTGGTACGCACCTTCAAAGGGAGAACCAAGTTGAGTTAAGAAATGTTCACAACATTGGCTCAAGAAGGTCAGTCTGCGTGGCTTTTCAACTAGCTGTCCAGTTGCTAGCGAAGTTCTGTGCAACCCTGCAGATCAACATGGAACTCGCACAACACGCTGGCTCTCCATCTGCAAAAAGGTCTCTACAGGACGGCCAGGACTCCCCCCCTTTTTTTCAGTTCATTTTGGGACTATGGTCAAGAAACCGTAGGGAGCATGTACCAAACCTCAATAGGGTGTGTCAAAAAGGGGGAGAAGAACTCCTCGAAAAGTGGTCTGCCTCTTGGTTTCCCGTCTAAAAAAAAACTGAAAAGAGTCTACACCCCCACTTCTCGTAGGATCCCCTGTGCCATCCCTGGCTTTCTGATGCCCTAGGCTTCAGGCCTCTGCAAGTGGACACACCTCGGTAGCTGTGCTTTTGCGCACATAGAGAACGGGAACGCTGCCCCAGATCTTCCACATACAAAGAACCAAACTACACAATGGGCATATGCAGGGTACATGAGCCATATTTGCCAGGCGACCAGCTTGGGGATATAATGCTGACAACTAGCGGCGTGGAGGACGCGGGATACAGGATTCCCTTGGAACCATATATCTTCATGCCGGGCCAATCGTGCTCGTGAAGTACTCTTTTGGACCAACCAGGGGTGGATCCACTGAAAGCGCATCCGAACTGTACGAATTGCAGGTCCTTTTGGGAAGACCTGGTCTGGGCCACACACCCATATGAACCCCGGCCAAACTTCATTCTTTTGCAAAAGCACATGGACAGATGGGGTTGTGGAACTTGGGTTCCCTCGGGATTTGAAGGGAACCATGGGAAAAAACGCCTAAACCAACCATATCCTGAAATTCCCCCCCCCAAAAAAAAATCGCAACACCTACTCACGAGGCTTCAGACTGACGAGTCCGTCACCCCGACGTCGGACTCGACGACGTCGCCTCCACGAGCTCATGGGCCTCAAAAGGCCGCGAGGCGAAGACGCGCCAGTGCCCGCTGCGGCCCTGACATCGAATCGTCGTGCCATGTGACTCCTGTGACCCCCCCCTTGGGGGGTGTGGGGGGGGGGGGGAATCCAGTGACAAAAATTGGGGGGGGGGGGGGGGAGGGGGGGTGTACGAGGGAATAATGCGTATATTGTGAACGAGGTCTTTTGCGGTACTAAAACCAAAGAATTCTGCATTGTTCAACAAATTTTCAGGTGATGGGAATAGAAGTAACTGTCAAAGGGTACAAGTCATATTCACGCATACACACACACACAAACACCCAGAGCGCGCAGTCAGACAGCCTTTTTTTCTTTCTCTAGGCAAAATCCGCTTGGGCGCAAATACACCTGATGGGTGAAGTGCCCTCAACTTATTGAAGAGGCAGAAACAAATCCGCTCGGGCACAAATGCGCCGGATGAACGCAGTGCCCTCAACTTATTGAAAAGGCGGAAACAAATCCGCTTGGGCACACATGCGCCAGATGGACGCAGAGCCCTCAACTTATTGAGGAGGCGAAACGCCTGAAATTATTTTGATTGTGGCCACTAGCATCATGAAAACTATCACGTGCAACATGTATGTGCGTCAAAAGTATGTCTAGCTGCTAATTGGTAGCAATCCGAAAAGCCTAAAACAGAAACCACGACAAAACAACATCAGCACAATCCGCCGACAGAAGCTGATGTTCGTGTGATATGATACAACACATACAAAATTTGTATATATGTACGTGTATATATATATATATATATTTGTAAGTGTATGCTAAAAACCATATGCATGCGTATGTGCATAATGTTATATATCATGAGGTCATATCTGCATGTATATCTATATATATATATATATAAATATCATGTTTGTTTTCCTGGTACTAAACCGTAAGCTGAAAAGCAAGCTCTGCGCGCGACACGCGCAGGGGATGCGACGTCAGTGCAAGCCAACACGGACAGTCTCGGGTCCAGTCTCGGGTCCAGGGGTCCAGTCTCGGGTCCAGGGTAGACCCCCCCAGATTTTGCATTTTTTGCAATTATTCCTCGAGTGTTTGAAACTTTCGCATCCAAAAGTCCAAAAACTCGAGGAATAATTGCAAAAAATGCAAAATCTGGGGGGGTCTACCCTGGGACCCGAGACTGGGCCCGTGGAATTGCAAAAATTGTAAAAAACTCAAGGAATAATTGCAAAACTACAAAAATGGAAAATCAGGTGGTCTACAAACTTTTTCAAGAAGAAGCCCGTTCACATTATACATACTATTCCCTGCCACGGAGGGGGGGGGTGTCCGGAACAGTTCAACACATGGAGCGGGGGGGGGGGGGGAGGTCCACAAAATGCTGGTGCCCCCATGCGACCCCGAAGTGGGGGGTGTCAAAGGGGGGGCCGGAGGGGACCTGTGTGCATGACTTTGAAACGACAGGGCGAGGCAAAATACTCAGTGCCCATGTTTGTTGGAGTCATGCAGATTCCTTGCCCCTTCTTTTTCCGGTGCCAGTGAGCACTGTAGTAGGCAACCAGGAGGCTGATCAGACCCCCTGCAAAGAAAACACAGACTTAAAACAACTCTCTTTCTTGTTTTCTTCCGATGTGAAGAGGGGGTCCTTCACTTTGTGGGAACACCTCCTATTGGTCCACGAGGCTATGCCTAAATCCAGGATCAACACTGGCCCCAAGCGAGCGATCTGTCTTTTGACCATGGCACGTGTCTTGGTTACCTAAAGGGACTTGGCTCATGTGGCTGCGTGTTGCTTGAGGGTCGCTTCAAGGGGAAGCCAAAAGGAAAGCTGTTGCCCATTTGGGGGTACCCCGATTTTCGAATTGTTTGCATACCCGTGCGGGTAGGAATTTTCATTGCGGACTCTGTGGTGCACGCCATTTCGGTGGGAAGTTCTGTCCACCAACCACTTCTCCAACAGATGCAGCGATAGCTTCGAAAATATCCAGGGGACTCTAGTCAGGGGAACCCAAGAAGATATATATACATATATATATTCATTTTTTTATGTATGTATCAAGGTCTTAGTAGCCCCAAAACGCACCACGCGCAACGCGCGTTCTGGAACGTATGCCAAAACGCGCGTTCTGGAACGTGGCTGTGTGGTCAGCAGGCGCAAGGCCCCAATGCTTTTTGCAGGCTCCGGAAAAAGCATGCAGCCCCATCTTACACTGTGCGGCCGCCAGCCAAGTTTCGAAACGGAGGCGGGTTCACCGCAACTATGTGGTTGGCAGGAAAGGCGCAAATGCTTTTTGCAGGCTCCGGAAAAAGCATGCAGCCCCATCTTACACACACACACACACACCTGCGCGGGGGCCAGCTAAGTTTCGAAATGTAGGCGGGTTCACCGTAACTACGTGATCGGCAGACACAAGGCCCGAACGCGTTTGAAACGTAAGAGGGTTCACCGTGACTACGTGGCCAGCGAGCGCAATGACCGAGTGCAGGGTCCGGCTAAGTTTGGAAACGTCCGCGGGTCCGCCGTGACTACGCGGTCAGCAGGCGCAAGGCCCGAGTGCTTTTTGCAGGCTCCGGAAAAAGCATGCAGCCCCATCTTACAGGCCAGAAAAATGTTGCAGCCACACCAAAGGACTCGAATGCGTTTTTCGGGGCTGGGAAAAAGCACTCAAACCAACATTTAGCATAAGGGCAAGCAAACAACTCGGGGGCCTCTGGAAGACCGCGAAGCATACACATGCGTTTTTCGGGGCTGGGAAAAAGCATTCAAACCAACATTGTGCATCCAGAGAGCCTGAGGGCAAGCAAACGACTCGAGGGGCCTCTGGGCGACCCGCGAAGCACACAAATGCGTTTTTCGGGGCTGGGAAAAAGCACTCAAACACACATTTAGCATCTGGAGAGCCTGGCCCTCCAGGGCAAAAAAGGCATCTAAGTTGCCGATACGTGAAAGACTGCCGTGTTCCCCTGTGGAGCTTCTTAGGTTGTCCAGGAGACATTTGCTTTTAATGCAGGGCAAGAAAAGAATCTAAGTCGCCGGACGTGCAAACGACTGCCCCGTAGAGCTTTTAGGAAGTTGGCCAGTAGGGCCACATATGCTTTTATTCCAGGGTAAAAAAGCATCTAAGTTGCCCAGCAATCGCCAGACTGCCGTATTCCACAAAACGTGCAAAACGGGAGTTCTGAAACGCGCGTTTTGGCAACGCGCGTTGCCAACGTCAAAACGTACGGTGTGAGGTCACTAAGATCAAGGTCTATCTTGCTTATATAAAGAAATATATATATATATATGTATATATGTGTTTGTACCTTGCTGCATGGGTAAAACATCGGAGGCTAACATTGTTCTGTGACATACGGATCCCTTTTTTTTCGGGACCCCCCAAAATGGCTTCGGTCTCCCTCGTAATTTCCCTTTACAACCACCAAGAAGGGGGTCCCAAAGACAGACCCCAAATTGGTGTTCCTCTAGGTGTCCCTTCAGACAAATTGCTGGTTTGTCCTCTTGGTTTCCCTTCGCCAAAAAATGGGCTAACTTCCAACTCCCAACCAAAAACAGATCCAAGTGGTTGGTTCATAGAGTGGTGTGTTGGCGGTTTTGCTGTTGGTTCCTGTTAAAGCCACAAAAAAAGACGTCCCAAAAAAAGAGACAGACCCAGCTGCAATGAGAAGCCCCCGCCCCCTTGGGCCCCTCGTGATGAATTTTCAGGCCTCTTCCGAGGGCTGCTCCCAGCCGGATTTGACGTAGCCCTCCGACCTCTCGCTGTTTCTTGACGTTGGAAGGGGAGCAACAATCAAAATTTTAGCAGTTAAGTGGTTGGATTTCAACCACTCAACCACAATAAGCCAAAATGTAACATGTTTCCCAACAACCATGGTTTTACCCGGTTAACACCCCAACTCACCACTTGGGTCTGTTGTTGGGAGTTGGAAGTTACCCCTGTTTGGGTGGCTTTGAGGGGAACGCAAGAGGGAAGCCAATCCTTTCTTTAGGAGGGATTGACCAAAATAAGAAACCCCCGCTTGTCAATTCAGCCTGTTCATGAGGGTTGTTGGCGCTCAACTGAGGATTTGACCAATTGGTCCGCAAGAACACTTTCTCGAGCTTCGCAGTTCGGAACAAGGTACGGACCTACCTAAAAGGCCATGCAGAAAAGGCGAGCGCCTTGGCCTCTTGGGATTCCAAATTTATTCTCAGCTTCCCTCTTGGTGGTTTGCTTTGGTGGTTGGACGTTACGGGGTACCCTTTCGCATTTGGTGGCAAAAGGAACTGGGGTTCAAATCCCGAAAATACAAAAATCCAAACCATCAGTTGAAGCTCACCTTTGTGAGTAAGAGGAAAAAACAAAAATCGCGTCAAGAGGCCGATTCGCTTTGTGCAACTGAGTCGGTGGGCATGTGTTGCAAATAGGGAACCCAGGGACCCATGGGGGGGCGGTTATCAAAGAAAAACAAACGGAAATACAACAATTGATCTCAATTACACCGACAGCTTTGACACACAGCCATATGTCTCCTGTAAATTAGTGAACATCACCCATCACAGAGAGGAACCCGATTGAGATTTAAAGCGGCCAGCAGCGTACATCTTGGTAAACCTGCAGGTCTTGTCAGGAATTTGTCAACACCTTTCTGAAAGGAGATCCTTTTGCACAAGGCAATGGTGGGTGGCTAGAGGTCGTCCTCGATTTTTGGAAACACTCCAGTGTGACAAGGTGACCACTTCTCAAACCTTGCGGCAACTGGCTCCCGGACCCGAATCTAATGGCCAACGCAAGGACCCCTGACTGAAACCATAAAGGATGACTAGCACTCCCCCCAAAACCAATCAACCCTCAGGGTAAGAACGGGTATGGCTGTACCCGAAAGCGGGAGCTGCAGCCGGCTAGTGGAAACCTCCCAGATTTCCTTTGTGGCGCTTTGTGGGTCTTTTGGGAAGCAAACAAATTGGGGTCCAGGCATTGTGGAACCACTGTGCCCTGGTACAAACCAAACAACATGAAACAATTGCTACTCCTTGGTTCACATGGGAAGAAAACAACGCGAGTCCTCCAGTTCTTGGAAGTTCAGTGAGCTCCCCCCTGCCCTCCCGAACGAACCAACAACATCTCGCAGTTTTTGGGCCAACTCCCATCTCCGGATCCTGCCGGACACGCCGTCTCCGTCCGTCTCAGCCCTGCGCAAGGTGAGGCAGCCCTGCGGCCAGTACTCCTCCCCCTGCGCCAGCGGGATATGCCGCGCCTGACGGGCCCGACGGCCCGCGACTCGCAGGCAGTGGGAGCTAAGCCGAACTCGGAGGCGGCCCAGATCAATCGACCCCAGTTTATGAGCAGAAAAACCACACAGCCCCACAGCCCTATCCATAAACTAGGGTCGACATTCTAACACATTTTCTGGCCTCGGCAGCTTTTGTGCTTTTAGGCCGTCAGCTGGGGGGGGCAGTTGGCTCGGGCACCGGAGTTTGTACCATGACGAAACGAGCCTTGACTGCCGAGGTGTGGCTCGGCACCCAGCACCGTCGGTGTCAGCTTGGTGCTCAGGGAATGAGGGAATGACTCCTATAAACCATCCCCTATAGTTTCTTTTATTCAGGGATCTCCAAACCCGGCTCATGCCCAAGACCCGCACTCGGTCCTTCCCTGAGCACCAGCAAGTGATACGTGGGGGTTCCTTTTTGGATTCCCTTTAAAACCACGAAAGAAAGGGGGACTCTCAAAAGAAGAAAGTCGCGCCCAGCAAAACCGCAGGGTTCTTCTTGGTGTTTGAGGGAAAACCCACCCAAATGCCCAATGGCCACGGTCGAAAACAAAGGGCATCCTCTTTTGGTGGCTTGACTTCAAAGGGACACCCCTCCCAAAAAACAGTCAAGGCCGAAAAAGGGAGCAACCCAGATCAGGCGCCCGGGAAACTTCCGAGGCTATAGGATGTATCAAATTCGCTCGAGGCAGAGGGCCCTCCCCACCTCGAGGCCCCAGAAGGCGTTCACGCAGCGCGTGCCCTCCGGGAGCTGCGCCTTCTTCCTGAACGGAGCTGGGGAAAAGGACATCCCACGTGCCAGGTACCACTCGGGCGTCATATTTTCTTTGGACCCCCCCCCAAAAAAAAGTAGTTTTAAATAATTTTGGGTTCGGTGTTTTCCTCTTGGTGTCCCTTTCAAACCACAAATTTTAAAAATGGGGTGCACCCAGCTGAGTCTCCATGACCATTCGGAGAAACAGCATCAATGAGTGCGAGGCTACTTGCAGCAGTCAACTAGCGAACCGCGGCTTTGTGCGCTGCCAAAAACGCTGGAAGTTGATGGGTAGTTGCTGAATGTCCTGTGGCTGGATTCTCGCATAGAATGCACCCAAGACTCAACAGCCATCAATGTTGTGGCTCCCCTAGCGGAGCTTATGCCATTCTCTAAAAGCAACAGGTGAAGAAGTGAAGGATCGGGCCATGGGTTTATCAACGGGTTCTCATTCGGGTTACTCCAAAGACCCCGTCATAAACAGAAGTCTGGCCTCTGGCAAAGGAAAAACCAAAGGAAACCACTTAGCTTGTGGCTTGATCATCTGCAAACGCGCGCACGGCTCGAATCAAGCAACTTCGGGTGTTCGCATCCCACGTTTGTCCCTACCCTCAGAACACACCCCAAGGCTTCCGCGTGACCTCCGCGTGACCTCCGCGGTGCCCGGGGCCCCGGCCCAGGCGGAACGCGGCCCGCGCCGAGGTACCTGGCGTCCAAAAGGCGATGTCGGAGGGGGCTTCAATGGAGGGCCCTTTGGGTTTATGTCCAATCAGCTTCGAAAGGGGGCGATGATTTTTCCTCCAGGGCCCCGTGGATTTATTTATGTCCGATCAGCTTGTGTGCCAATTCATAGCCGCACATCACATCGTTGCTTACCTGGCAATAGGCAGGGGGGGTCCTAAGGCAAGATGCATGAAGCATGAATTCAGACCCTGCCCCATGCAAACCGACCCAAATTGCAAGCAACAATAACGTCTGGTGCCATTCCGCGAACCATTGGATCTTAGGTAGGCACAATGTAGGGAAGCCAGGGTATGATTGAAGTGTTGGCATCCTTTTGCAAACCATCCCTCAGGTTTCCTCCAATCAGCAAACCCAAGTATCGCTGCCCACTTCCCACAATATAACCGAGATTTTGGGCGGGCGGCGGGAGCGACTCACTGCAAAACCTGCCGCTGGAACGTCAGCAAGGCCCCCATCCCATCGACCCAGGGGCACTCGAGTGCTCGTTCAGTCCTGGCATCACCGAACGGTGCACAAGCCCCTTGCGGTTTGTTTGGGGGAACGACTTGGGTTGCCATGAAAATCAGTGCATGCTTTTCACGGGTTTCCTTGCCCCAAGCATAAGCACTGGAGATACCTACCAATAGCGTGTTGACACTGGCTCTACCTTTTGGGGCACATGCTCAGTCAGTGCGCAGTTTTTAACGCAAACTTCGCTGGCGATTCTGGAAATCCAACACAGGTCCCCCCCCAACAAAAAGAGAAAGAAATCACAAACAAACGGAGGGGGTGTTCCAAGGCAGGACCCATTCCCTTAGAAAGGCCGTTTTCTGGGAAACGCAGCCCCAAGCCCTTGCTCCAGCGAAGCATTATTTTTTGTTGGTGAGGCTCGAGTGGTACAACTGCAGTGCTACGTATCACCGAGAACTTAGAACCCAAGGGCACAGGGTAGTGGATTCAGGGCCCATGCTGGCGGCACGCTTGCTCGGCCACTTGGCAGAGCGCCCATCTGCAACTCCTTCCAGCCACACGGCGGATGGGCGCGCGGCTAGGCGGCTAGGCGGCTACGTCCCATGGGCTCCCCAAGGCTTCGGAGTCAGCTGCAGCGAGTTTTCTGGTAGCTGATGAGCTGCATGCGCCGCCCTGCCGGCCTCTTGAATCGGCTCTCGTGTGTGAGATTCGCGGGGCCTGAGATAAGCTTTGGATGAACCCTTCAACATGCGACCCGCACGCTATACAGTGGGGGGGGATGGGGGGGTTCACCGCGGAAATTCATTTGGGACTTGGGACTGGATGATATTTGGGACTGGATGAGTCCCAATTGCTCCTTTTAAAGGCTCGGTTGTGCCCCGAGCCTGTCACTTCTGCAATTAATCAGCAAACATGACAAGGGTTTTGTTTACCCCCAAAAAAAGTATAACACCCACCCCTCCATTGATTAACGCAACCTAACATAGCAACGAAGTGGGGGAAAGTGAATCGGGAGGTGTACAGGCGCAATTGCACCCACCCCCACCCACCCCCACCCACACCCACCCACCTCCACACACACCCACCCCACACACACACACACACACACCCAAACACCCCCACACAACCCCACACACACACCCACACACACCCACCCACCCACCCACCCCACACACCCCCACACACCCCCACACACCCCCACACACCCCCACACACACCCACACACACCCACACTCCCCCACACACCCCCACACACCCCCACACACACTCCCACGCACCCCCACACACACTCCCACACACCCCCACACACACCCACACACCCCCACACACACCCACACACCCCCACACACACCCCCACACACCCCCACACACCCACACACCCCGACACACCCCCACACACCCCACCACACACCCCCACAAACACCCACGCACCCCAACACAACACCCACGCACCCCCACACCACCCCCACACACCCCGGCACACACCCCCACACACCCACACCCCCACACACCCCCCACACACCACCCACACACACCCCACACACACACACACACCCCCACACACACCCACACACCCCCACACACACCCACGCACCCCCCACACACACCACCCCACACGCCCCCACCCACCCCCACACACACACCCACACACACCCCACACACCCCCCACACGCCCCCACACACCCCCCACACACCCCACACACACCCCCACACACCCCCACGCACACCCCCACACACCCCACAAACACACCCCTGCACACCCCCACACACCCCACACACACACACACACACACACACACACACACACACACACACACACACACACACACACACACACACACACACACACACACACACACACACACACACCACACACACACCCACCCACCCACCCACCCACCCACCCACCACCACCCACCCACCCCCCACCCACCCACCCACCCACCCACCCACCCACCCGCCCGCCCGCCCGCCCGCGCGCAGCCGCGGCGCGCACGCACGCCACGCACAGCACGCACGCACGCACGCACGCACGCAACCAGCACGCCGCACACACAACACACCGCGCACCACGCACGCACGCGCACGCACACCCACGCACACGCACACGCACCACCCACCCCACGCCCACACCCACACACACACACACACACACACACACACACACACACACCGTGATTAATTTTCACTTTTCGGTCAAAGCTACTCGAGAAACCGACCTGTTTGATCCTCCTTAAGGTCTTGGCCCCCCAAGTAAGTAATCTATTCCATTGTGTTTTGCACATTGGCTCGCTGTTGTTTGCTTTTGCCATTCATTCGGGGGGGGGTCTCGACTGCTGGGGGCCAGCATGCAAAATCAAGCAACGGGGGCTCCAGTCATCGAGCACACTCTGCTTGCAATGATTTGTCGGGCTTCAGGGGTCATCGATTCAGTGAGGGAGCAGATGCCATTTACCCTAGTACCCATCAAGGACACCTTAGGGAAGCCTTGCAACTAAGGCCGGCAGCCATTCAGCCTCACAACACAATTCGGCCTCTCCCGGAGACGGGTGACAACGTGCTCGTTCACCTTCCAAACTCGCCTCAGAGCTCCATGAACGACGCATGGGAGATGCTTCAGGGATGCTCCGACGACCAGGGTGGACACTTGGGTTCGAATGAACTTATATCGTGCCTGTGGACTTTCATGTTGAAAACTCGAAGCAACCCCGCTCTCCTAGGAAATGCCTCACTTGTTACAAGGGATGCAACTTAGACCAAATGCAGGAGATGGGAACCACGTCGCGAAGTGGTTGATGCGAATTCATGGGCTCTCCCCAATGGACCACACCTCAGGGCCCAACACAAACAAAACCTCAACTGGCGAGGGGCCCAAACAAGAATTGCCGTGTCGTCCCTGCTTACAGGAGGCTTGGGTGAGTCCCCTCACGTCCCGCCCAAATGGACCATAGACTGCACACATGAGAATTCGCGAGGCACCTGGTTGATGCAAGTCCCCCCATGTCCCATGTCCCACCCAATTAGAGACCATAGACACCTCTCAATGCAAGGAGTCCAATGGCTCCGAATTGTCGACTCCTGCCGACGTGGCTTAGGCAAAGCACGCGAGTCAACAGATCTGTCGAGATGCGTGACATCGGGAGCAGGTGTTAAGTCGCAACATACAACCTGGTTGTGCTGTTCGCACAACTGACCTGAAAATGAAAGGTGCTCACAAATGTGCAACCTCTAAATCTGGACCACTGGAAAACCAAGCCTCAACTCTAGCCCAACCCCACCCCAAGGATCCGGTCAATTCGCTTGACCCCACCCCCGCCCTGGAGGCCCGGGCTTAAAGAGCTCCTTGGTGCACTCCTCAGCTTGGCTCCGAGCCGCCTCCCTCTTAGGGCGCCCCCCCGGCCGAAAGAAAAGAGCCGCGCGAGCCGCAAAGGAGATGGAAAAGCCCACTGGGCCTGTCCATTTTTTGGAGTTGGTGCCGGATGTTTTGTGGGTTGTAAGAGGGAAGCCAAAAGGGAAAACCCACCAACAAGGGGGAACCACCCCCCACAAAAGGGGAACCCCCAACTGGCTTTTAAGTAGGAAGCATTCGGGGCCTTTGCATTCGGTCTTGGACCAAATAGACCATGACTGTATGCCCTCAATATTGCCTGAGTAAGAATCAAGTTGACTTTCCTCCTGCAATGAACCCCATGGTTTGTGGTGGGTTTAGTCGGGAAAGAGATCCAAACTAGGTTCCACGTTAGTTTGGCTGATCTTCCAAGGAGCCTTAGCAAAATTGTCATGCTAGTGGTCCCTAAGTGGCGTGATTCTTTCAAACGAAAGCCGCATTTGCGGCTGAATGTCATGACTCCTTTAAACGTAAGCCGTATGACCAGTTGATGTCCTAAGTGTCATGACTATTATTGTTAGACGTAGGGACGGAATGATTCCCTAACCATCGCAACATATCGCAAATGAACCAACCGCATCCATGTCCACGTAACTATCCACTTGAATAATACTCAGGGCGTTCACCTTCGGCCTTGTCCGGGTTGCCTTTTGGAAACAAGGGCTGTGTACTGGCTTCAAACAAGAACCGCCGAAATCCAAACCACCACTTCAGGTGCTTTCCCTGAAGAGTCCTAGATTTCCACCTGAACATTGCCCACATTCAATAATCTGAACGTCGAAATTGTCCACAACGCCGTGCTCTTTAGAGGAACCACCGCGCAAAACAAATGACTTCCATACACACAGGAGAACCACCCTGAGTAGTACAATCTTATGGATTTATCCGAACATTCTGGAGGTTCCTTTCTGTTTTAAGTGGCCAGATTGTACTGTTTAAGGAACCCTGTTCTCAGCATGGTAAATGACAGGTGCTGCTCGGCACAGAAGCCAGCAGTCAGACATACTATGCAAACCAAAACAGGGTTTGCCCTTTGCCACCCTTTTTGGGAAACATTGACACCGTTTTAAGATGTTCAGGCAAATCTTGGTTCAGTGAAGTGGCATCCTAAAAAAATACCTTCCAAAGAATGGCTTGCAGAGAAACCAGCTGTTGGCTTCAAGAGACCCCGTCAAGTCAAATGCCAATCCCCGGCTGGGAAGCAATAAAGTAGGCTTCCCAGCCCCGTGACTCGTTCACTTTAAAAAGGGACTCCAACTTGGCAATGCAAGTTGTGCGAAAAAACACAGATGTTCCATGCCCCGGACCACGAAGACTTTCGCTCGGCTTCTGGCTCGGCCGCGCCTTCTCGTGCTCTTGGGGGTCCTCAATCTCGTCCAGGAGCGTCTCCTGCATTCGATGCTTTCTTCCCTTGGTGAACTCGACCACTTTGGTTACACATGTTTGAACGGCCAGTCCGAGGGGCGAATTGCACTACACATCATCCCGTTGGTGTCCAAACAACAGTTGCCCGAATCCTGCTTCTTCACGTGACTAAACGGGCACACCGAGGTCCAAGATAGTCTGGGCGCACCTAACTCATGAAAGATGTTGCCATCCGCTACGACCGCGCCATCTACTCTCACCCAAGTGCAAATATGTACCAAACAATATGGGAGCTTGCTGATGATGCGGTTGCTTCGTTTCAGACTTGATATACCAACGAGAATGCCAGAAGGCATCAAGAGAATGCGAATATAAGAATCCAGGATAACACCATGCTGGTTGTCCATGGACGTGATTGAAATGAGAAAGATGGCTGATGGCTGACGTAGCTGATACAACAGCTGCTGCTTGTGGGTCAGCCTGGCCAACATCAGGACCCTTGTCACGCCTCGGCGACCTGTTCTTGCCAATCCCAACCTTTCAACCTTCCGCATCGCTTGGTTGTCAAAAACATGTTTTGCCCAGAAAATTACGGCCATATATGAGCCCATGGTCAGTGAATTGACAACGGCTACATTCTTTCGAAACCAGGCACCACCTTTGCCCAAAAAGGAATCTCGCGGGCTAAATAGGTGGTCTGGAACAATTGAACCGTGAGCCATCCAGCTTTGATTTCCGGTAACAAAAGAGGAAAACCCGACATCCAATCTTAGAGGGTAGATGAGGGTAGCTGTGTACAGCACCTTACCCGTCCTCCTTTCAATTTCCTTTTGGGAAAGTTTTGAAACATAGACGATTCAGCACCCAGAAACTTATGTGGGCTCAGAAAAGAAAGAAAAAAAGAAGGAAACAAAAAAAACCGGCCGGGGTCCATCCTCATGACCCCATGGCTACTTTATCACTTTAATTGGGACTCCCCAGAGTGACCACAGCAACTTGGGACTAGTACCAAGTTGTTGGCAGAAGAGGTAGGCCCCCAATTTTTGCCAAGGCAAACACTTCCATTTGCCTTTTCGTTCCCTGGAAAAACATGAGAAAATGTCCAGTGATGAAATCGAGTCCAACTTTCAAACCAACAGGGACAAACAAAACAGCATATTTTGAAACGCAAATAGAAGGCCCCCAAAAAATATATATCCACAAAGGTACCCTGCAACTCCCATTGGCGCCTCCTGGGTCTCCGCCAGCATCCAGCCCTCCCATCTGGCATCGCCCGCCGGCGTTTAAGGAGGCTTGGGCCCGCGAAAAATTGGCTCCGCCCCCTTCCCCCAATGGACCCGTGCCAACAACTTGGTACTAGTATCAAGTTGCTGTGCTCCTGTTGTGGAATCCGCATTTTTGTGACCCAACTGGCGCGAATCCACAGTAGTCTGGGAAAAAACAACCAACGCATCCTCTTTTGGTTCCCATGAGAAGTCATGATCTTTTTGCTAGTTCGCACCCAAATAAAACGGGGTCGCATTCAGAATCTGGCTTCTGGTTGTTTCTTTACCTTAAGAGTTGGTCATTTTGAGGTTCGGAGTAACCTTGTATGGAGGCACAAATGGAAGGCGCAAAATGATACCCTTTTGCGGGGAGGCGAGCAGAAGGAAAACCAAGCGGCGTTTTTGGGTTCATTAATCCAGGACGGGTTGTGGAAGACCGGAAATGCTTGCCATTCCAGTTTCGTTGGCTGGATTTACGCCAGGAACAGGGTGAAGGGATAGAGAGGGAGAGAGAGAGAGATTGTACAAACCCTGGGGCCTGGCGTGCGTGCGGCGCATGTAATTGATTACGCATGTAGGCCCCTCTCCCTGACTTCTGGTAGGAATTGGCGGTACTGGGGTTGGTGGCACACAGTAGAACTCATATTTCACAACGTTTGCCTTAACCGCAGATATGCATATGTAAATAGGAAAAAACATATGTACATATCTCCATATAAATACATACATGTATACCCTCAACCCCGTTGTCCTTTGGGATATTCTTGAGGCTGCCTCCGCAATTTGCTGGATAAATCTGCGAATCTCCGGAGTTCGAGACTTCGCCCCAAGCCCGCCTCTCCTCCACCTGGCGAGCCGCGAGAACCCCCCCCTGGCCGGAAATTTCTTTGGGAGTGTCATGGGTGGCAGCGTGTATTGGCTTGCATTGTACCCTTGCCGCGGTCCTTGCGCTTTTTTGTGGGGCAGGGGGCACTAACCCAAGGTGAACGGGCGACGATCCTGAACTGAGACTGAAAAATCGGGTCCCGTTTCAAGTTTCAAGAGTATCCTGCTTTTCCAAACCCCCCCAGCCCGAAAGTTGGGTCATGGGGTATTGGCTGGGAACCAGGAGAAACCTGGCAGACGGAAATTGGTACCCAAAATGGCTCTGGCAAATGGAAACATGCACCCAAACCTGCGGTCCATATCCTGGTTTTCATTTTGACTCATTTTGACCCATACCCACCTGGAGACTGCCGCGAACCATGGCCCAGCGGACGCGACACCTCCCGCCTGGGCCTCGGTGTCCGGCGCCAGGCGCACCCAGGCGCCCTGGAAGTCGGTGACCCGCAGTACTTCGCCCTGCCGTAGGCGGCCCCTTTTGGGTAAAAAATCGCTGGGGGAAACCTTGGTACATGGGGCATTTATGCCCCATCCAAACCAGTGGAACCCATCCAAAAGTAGATTCGCCCTGGTAAATGGGGCAGAAACCCCGTCTAAACCAGTGGAACCCATCCATGCTTAACCAGACTCACCTAAAAAGGACACTTGTGCCTGCAGCTTGACGCCGATTTGGTCCCCGTCCGGCTTCGAGAAGACCTCGGCCGAGGAGGTTTCCAGCGAGCGAGAGGCAACCGGGGCCTGATTGTGGGTCACACTGAGGTCATGGCGAGAAAAAAGCCACCAAGTAAGAGGGAAGCTGAGTCAGGTTCCCCCTGATTGGTGGTTTGGGGGTGAGGTGGGTTCCCTATGGGCCTCTATCAAACTTGTGGGGGAAAGACCACCCTTTTTGGGTTCCATGTTCTTTTTTAGCAGGGCCCCGGGTCACACGCCTAGAGACGCCGGGCCCGAGGAACTCTAAAGGAAACCAAAGAGGACCAAACTCCCACCGTCGGACGTCTCTCTGGGCTGCCCGGGCGGGCTGCTGCTCCGCCTTCCCCAACACCCGGAAGAAGAAGACCGCGTCGATGGGCGGCAGGGGATCCGGTCCTGAGGCGACCGACAGTCGCCGTGGCTGGCGCGCGTCTCTGTTTGCTTGAGGCTCGGGAACGGGCCCTTTTTTTTGACCTGCTGGCGTTCGGGAAACCAGAAAGAAAACCGAAATCCATTTTGGGGCTCCCCCCAAAAAAGGACACAGAGAATTGGTGATTTGGAAACGGGGATTCCCCAAGGATAGCACAGAAGCCGGGCCCAAACAGCCATTTCCCATGGGTCAAGCGGGGCACTGGGGGAATCCCCGTGGTTGCCTTCGCTTCCTGACATGGGCTGGTCTGCTCCTTCGATCCCAGTCCGGGAAAACTCGGGGAACTGCATAATGACCACGGGGCTAAATCATTGCCTCCAGTTGCGAAATGTCGTCCCCTGGAACCATTTTTTTTAAATAAAAACAAAAAAAATAGGTCCAGTAGTGATTGATTCCAACTTTAAGACCAACAGGGGGAAAAAAGACAGTTCTTAACCGAATGGAAGATTACACACACACACACGCTCACACGCTCACACGCACACACTATCTGATGATCATGGCATTCCCTTGGAACAAACGTGCCCCACAATCCCGTTCGATTGTGGAACCGCCCCCATAAACATGGGAAACAAACCTCCGACCGCTTGGCCAAAGCCTCGTCTCGCTTGACTGGATTGGCCAAAAAGTTGAAAAACTTGGTGTCCGCTAACCTGATATTGCCAAAGGTGAAAAGTCCACCGATGAGGAAAGCGAGCCCGCCCCCTCCCCAAAACAAAACAAAAGAATAAGCTATGAAAAACTGCCCCCATCCTCTTCCGAGCAGTTCTTACTGGGCAGCCCGGACTTTTCAGGACCGGCGCATTGGTGCCGTAGATGCTGGTCTCGGATCGGACTGTCTTCTTAAGACCCTGTTGAGGTTTGTGCACCTTTCGGCATCCCCTTCAAAACACGGCACAAGGCGGCACCAGGGTCCAAAAACGGGCCTATGACACAGAAACCAAGGACTCCAGGCACCAGAAACTTCCTTCCACATTCTTTTCCCAAACCCTCCAACGAAAGGCAGGAAAACCCAGAGGTGGCTTCAAACATGTTTGAGGGTGCATCTTGCAACTACAACTTCACTACAACTTCAACTTACGGATTCCCTGCAAATCCCTTTTGAACCCCACCTTGGCTCCATGTTGATTTGCAGGGAAGAACTCTCTTTGTTTCAGCCTGCTGAGGCCATTGCCCACCCCTCTGCCGGGTACATCGATGGCTCCTCGGGACTCGGAGAGTTGTCGCGAGAAACCTTGGCGGGTCAAAGAACCATTTGGGTCGTGAAACACAGGGGCCCCTGTTGGAACCATGGTGAACTCCTTCTCAATCGCTACCTTAAGGGGTGATTCCCCATTCTGTTTAATCACGGTTCTTTTCAAAAACCCGCTGTTTCCCCTCGGATTTTGCTGGTTTCCTCAAAAAAACTGAAATCATGGGTACCCCTTCATTAAAACGGTTACCCTTGGCTGGTAACAACCTATGCCAAAAGACGTGGCGATCTTGCATCTGGGGAATGGAAGAAGGGGTCGCCAAACAAACAGGGTTGTCCCAGAACTGTGGGAGGTATGCCCAGCATTTCCAATTTAAAAAAAGGATGGCAACACGACCTTGGGTCCAGTCAAGTGACATCCTCAGAACTACCCGTTAAATGATTATCTCACTTCCCGAGTGGACTGGCCACAAAAGTTTTTTTTTTCCCGGAAGCATTGCGAAGGGTTCTTCTTCTAAAAGCGGCTGCCAACTTCACCTGCCAACTTCTCATGCCAACTTGTCGAGAGTTACTTCACCTGCCAACTTCTCATGCCAACTTGTCGAGAGTTACTTCACCTGCCAACTTCTCATGCCAACTTGTCGAGAGTTACTTCACCTGCCTACTTCTCATGCAACTTTTTGAGAGTTACTTCACCTGCCAACTTCTCATGTCAACTTTTCGGCTGTTATCTCATTCTACTAAAAGCACAAGCTAATTTGTCGGGTGTTACTTCACTATCCTAAAAACACAAGCTAACTTTTCTGTTCTACCTTCACATCTCGACTCTTAATTCTTCTTCTTTTTATGGCGGGGGTAGGCCCGACGGGAGCTTACGAAACGCACCCCTCTGCGGAGATCGTGCGTGTCGAAGCGCTCTCGCTGTGGCGCCGTGCGAATTTGTCTTGAGCCGGCGAACCCTCTGCGGAGATCGTGCGTGTCGAAGCGCTCTCGCTGTGGCGCCGTGCGAATTTGTCTTGACCTTGGCGAACCCTCTGCGGAGATCGTGCGTGTCGAAGCGCTCTCGCTGTGGCGCCGTGCGAATTTGTCTTGAGCCTTGGCGAACCCTCTGCGGAGATCGTGCGTGTCGAAGCGCTCTCGCTGTGGCGCCGTGCGAATTTGTCTTGACCTTGGCGAACCCTCTGCGGAGATCGTGCGTGTCGAAGCGCTCTCGCTGTGGCGCCGTGCGAATTTGTCTTGACCTTGGCGAACCCTCTGCGGAGATCGTGCGTGTCGAAGCGCTCTCGCTGTGGCGCCGTGCGAATTTGTCTTGACCTTGGCGAACCCTCTGCGGAGATCGTGCGTGTCGAAGCGCTCTCGCTGTGGCGCCGTGCGAATTTGTCTTGACCTTGGCGAACCCTCTGCGGAGATCGTGCGTGTCGAAGCGCTCTCGCTGTGGCGCCGTGCGAATTTGTCTTGACCTTGGCGAACCCTCTGCGGAGATCGTGCGTGTCGCGCTCTCGCTGTGGCGCCGTGCGAATGTGTCTTGAGCCCGATGAACCCTCTGCGGAGATGTGCGTGTCGCGCTCTCGCTGTGGCGCCGTGCGAATTTGTCTTGAGCCCGATGAACCCTCTGCGGGGATCGTGCGTGTCGAAGCGCTCTCGCTGTGGCGCCGTGCGATTTTCTTGCTCGCGAAACGGCTTTTGGAAGTTGTCTCGTGGTGCGCGCGCCTGCTTTCGCAATCCCGCGGTCCCGGGTTCGATTCCCCCCTGGTCCGCGGCAGCTCCGGCTTGAAAATCGCAGCTTTTAAG